CTGATGCAACATATTATACAAAATTTGATTTTAAATCTGGTTATTTCCAGGTACCTCTCTCTAAAGAGGACCGTCCGAAAACAGCGTTTTCCACTCGCGACAATCATTATCAATTTACAGTTCTTCCACAAGGAATCACCAATGGACCCGCCACATTTCAACGCTTGATCAATCGTATATTAGGACCCGCAGGTTGGAAATACGCATTAGCCTATATCGATGATGTTGTTATTTATTCGAAAACATTTGACGAACATTTATCACATCTTAATGAAAGTTGTGGAATATTAAAAAATGCTCGATTTCGTCTTAACCCAGAAAAATGTGAAATTGCTCGAACACAAACAGATTAACTTGGACATCAAATTAGCAATGGCGAAATTCGTCCAAGTTCGTACAATATTAGTGGTCTATTAAATACAAAAGTACCACAAATGCCAGATAAAGCATGCAAATTCGTGAAAGCCGCTGAGTATTATAGGAAATTTATACCGAATTTCTCTCAAATCGCCGAGCCACTTCGAAAATTCGTCCCAACTACAAGAACTCAACAAAAGAAAGGACAAAAAACAATGATTACATTAACACAGGATGAAATTAACGCATTCGACCAACTCAAGCATCATCTGACAACTGATTTAGTATTACGATTACCAAACATTAGATTCCCTTTCAAAGTTCAAACAGATGCTTCGGATGAGGGGATCGGTGCTGTTCTATTACAAATCTATCCTGATGGCGATAGACCAATTGCTTATTTATCGAAGAAATTTACTCAAGTACAGCGGAAATGGTCCTCTATGGAACAAGAATGTTATGCATTTATCTGTGCATTAGACAAATTACATAATTATTTAAGTGGAATTAAATTTACATGGGAAACTGATCATAAAGCATTAACACAATTAAACCAAAAAGCTCAAATTAATAAACGATGTGAACGCTGGAGATTAAAAATTTTAGAATATGATTTTAAGGTCAAATATATTCCTGGTTTAACCAATTCAATGCCTGATTATTTATCACGTTCTCCAGTCGATAATGCTGAAGAAGATCCTGACGAAATCTCAATTCTTATTTCCAAAGCGACACAAACAGATCTCGATAATATTCCCAATCATTTACATGTTGTTACAGCTGTTGAAACTCGTGCTATGAAATTACGGAACGCAAAATTACCTAATACAAATAGCACAGAACAATTAAAATCTGATTCTCTAGATACTTCACTTGAAGAGAATCGAATTACTCCATTTACAAATGAACAATTAAAAGAAGCTCAACAGCAGGATGATTATGCAAATAAAATTTTAAAGAATATAAAGAAACGAAAAAACTATCTAATCAAAACTGATCTTTTAATGCATAATCCAAAGCATCCAGTTCCATATGTACCACAAGATGATTTAAGACGAACAATTTTACACATATATCGTGATACTGCCGCCAATGGTGCGCGTTTTGGCAGAAACAAAACAATACATAAAATTCAGCAACGTTATTTTTGGCCATCACTGTACAAGGATATTACTAATCACATTAAATCATGCATACCATGTGCACAATTTAACCCTCGTCGACAAAAGACCCCTGGAATTTTAAAACCAATAAAACCTCCAGAAGGAGTATGACTATTAGTTTCGATGGATTTCCATGGACCTATTACACCAGCATCGCAACGTGAAAATAAATATATTATTTGCCTTACCGATATATTATCAAAATGCGTTGTCACCAAAGCTATACGAGACAATACAACTCACACAGCTGTTCGATTCCTTAAAGAAGATGTCATCTCAAAATTTGGTACTCCTCGTTGTATCCTGACGGACAATGGAACTCATTTTACTTCGGCAATGATGGACGAATTATGCAAACAAATTGGTGTCACACACCTGAATTCAACACCATATCATCCACAAACAAATGGTCAAGTCGAATGGTACAACTCGACGATGGACGCCAAAATAGGTGCTTTATCAAACCTACGGAAGACAGATTGGGATGATCAACTGCCATTCGTTACATATAATTATAATGCATCGATTCACTCAACTACAAGGCAGCTACCATTCGAAATGATGTATGGACGATTGCCTATATTACCATTTGATAACCAAGATGACAACGTTACATTATCATATGATTCAACACACGTTAATAAACTCAATCAATTCTTGTCGAAATTAAATGAACAAGCCAAAATTAATATTATTAGAAACCAAGAACGATATAAACAAAGCTATGATATAAATCGTGCTGATCCATCGTACAACATTGGTGATTTAGTTCTTGTTAAAACACTTAATATTCGTCACAAATTTGATATTCGTTATGAAGGACCATTCAGAATTATCAAACAATTCACACAAAAAACATTTATTATCCAACACGTCAAGAAATCAACATTACATCGTCAAGTTATGACAGACGTGTTACTACCAATATTCGAACGAATTTATTAGATTAGGACCTCTCATAAAGAGATCCAAATTATGATTTATATCTCAAATTAATGGACTAATTGATTATTGATTGAACAATCTGATTTATTATAATTTAGCATAGCATAATTGGGGAGCGTGAGTTTCCCTCACTCACTGGTTATGAAGGGCTGCTATAATGATTTGAACACATTCATTAAATAATTAATTATTCTATGATAAAAAATTTTTAAATTTAAATGAAATATTATTCAATTATTTTTCATAGATACTCATCTCGAGCACTGAGAATCGTGAAAGATATATAACTTAGTTAGTTATTTCATTGAGATATAAAATACAAACTAATAAACATTATTATTATTATTATTACAATTTTTTCCCTCCCACATATTTGAAACTCATATACAGATCCCATCTGATAAACACTAGATAGGTTCTTTTTTTATGAGAATCGACCAATATAATATTAGATTCACTAATTAGTGAATCGTCATTTATTATCTTTATTTATTTTTCATTATAGTGATGTTATCTCAGCGTGAATATGAAGATCTATTATGGAAAATTAACAACATTCCATCAACAATTACCGAAAACAAACGACAAAATCTTCGAACTACCTTTAAGAAAAAACTCCATGAACATGAATTAGCTACAAAATATTCACCTTTTGAACCATTACAATTTGAACAATTTTTATTAATTTTCGAACAACTGACTCAACATTAATTCATCTCATCGATCAAATTAAATCATCGACAGTCTTTACACTCGATACAGAATCAATACTTATTCCATATCAACCGAATAAACCAGCATTAATTCAAGTCCGGATTATTCTATCAGAATCATTCTCATCCGTTGTACTTATCGAAATGTGTCACTTGCCTCGTGCATATGAACATACATTTACATTAGTTAAAAAAAATTTTCAAACATTATTCAATGCTGATAAAAATATCTTTATTTGCGGAGATATCAGAGAATTACATAATTTTTGTTCATATAATTTATTTACGTATGATCAATTAGATTTATGTAATCCTATTAATCTTCAGAATGAATTTAAAACTCATTGGAATGAACAACATCAGCATCTATAAATTATTCCGAATGTATATGTGAAGAATGTTTAGGTTTCCAAAAGAATAATACCTGGTCATTACAAAATGCAGTGGCATTTGAATTATCTCAATGGTTGGACAAACATCAAACAACATCAAGTTTTGATATTGGTCTCGACCCCACATTATATCATTTTAATTCAGCTGAAATTGAACATCGTCAATCATAAATTCGTTATGCTGTAAATGATTGTCTGTCGATGCAACAAATTATGCTTAAATTAAAACTTATCGAATATCAAGAATCAAATTTTAATCCATCGAATGAAATCATTACAGCTACATTAAATGATTTAACAGATATGGCACGTGATGATGATCAACATGATTTACCAACAACAAACAATTTCGAACCCATATCCCCAGCTGATATTCAAGCAGATTCAACACCAAAACGACAACAAACATTAACGAAAGCTGGACGTCGACGTATTCACAATCGTACGTGTACTTTGAAACAACGTAAGCGATATTACAAAACTGAAATTATAATTTCTAATATTGATCATCGATTTACAATCAAAGAAATTAAAGGAATTATTAAATCTCATGGTGTTCCATATTCTGCGGTAAATTTTTCCACTTCATCAACTACTCGAAAACGATCAGTACATATTAGCATACGGAATCCATCACAACTTAATGATTATCAACATCAAATCGACCATTTATTTACACCTTCGCATTACAATCGCTTCATTAATGGTCAACGAACACATAGATCCTCTAATAAAAGATGATCGGTAAACGTTCAAGTGACATTCACCTATATTTTTGTTGTTTCACATCTTCATGGAACATTGCAAAAAAAAAATTTCTTCTTTTCTCATTTTTGTTCAGATATTAAATTATCATTATCATTGTTATTACGTCCATCTATCATTCTAGTCGTCGTTCAACTTATATTAGTTTAACACTGTGATCTTGTGTTATTGTTTTTGATATTTTTGTTATTTCTCATTTTCATTTCTATTCTATGCATCTTTTGTTTGTTATTGTTCAGCTCAGTTCAGTTCAGTCTATACTTTAAAATGTGATAGGATACATTTTCTTGTTCAATGGGGAAAATGTTAAGGTGATGTCGCACCCGTACATATACATAGTTTGTGTTATTCCTCCGCTTCTTTGATCTCTTTACATCTATCTTGTGATCCCTATTCGTTATCATATATTTTCGTTCTTCGCTCTCTCTCTATATATATATATATGTTTGTTTTTCGTTGGATTAGAATTATTGAAATAAACATCGTGTTTAACACCAGCACACATTTAACCATAACAGTGTTCTTTCTTGAAAAAAATGAATAATTCTTATGTATATCTTCATAAATTATATTTATTCAACATATTTCTATAGAAGATCGACAGACTATTCTCATTCTAAGACGATGCCAGTCTGAAAACAACAATACTATGTAATAGCGAATACCATATTTTGTAAACCCAATTTGAGTCGAATCGAATCGAATCGAATTGATTTTTTTCGTGTTTTTACCCGAATCGAATCGAATTACAATTTTAAAAAGACCAGAAAACTCGAATTGAATCGAATGGCACTTTGCCATCGGTTTCGGTCTCTGATACATATATATTATTTGACTTACAATAATAGACAGAAACTTACCTAAAAGATCGTCGCCTGATTTTGGCACCAGATTAGGAGAAGGAATATATTTTTGAAATAAATCAAGAAGATCGATACGTTGTTTGTCGGGTAGACGTGGTATACGACCAAATTCAAGAATATTCAGAGAAAATTGAAAAACAGTTGTAGATGTTGATGAATGAGGAGGTCGATGATCAGGTAAACCTGAATTGAGATTCATATTCATATTCTCTAATTCATCGTCGCTTGAATTACCATCTGAACTTGATGATGATGATGATATAGAAGATAGCTACGTGTTAAGAAGAATTTCATTTTCATCATCACTTGGTAAATTAAGATATTCATCATCAAATCTATCTGTGCATAAAGTTGGTGCAACCGATGTAAAATTATCACTTTGATTCAAATTCGTTTGTTGCGCATTATATTTTTCATCAACAGCAGAGCTTCGATCAGTAAAAGTTGATGATATTGAAGCTGTTGAAAGAAGTGAAGCGAGAGATCGTTTTCGTTTGCATCCAAAGCGCCTCATGTATTGTTGATTTGGTTTTTTCTTGCGACGTTCAGATCTCTCTTTTTTATACTCATATAATGCTTTATCAGACATCTGCAATTACATAAAGCCAGAATTATATAAAAATTGATGTTGTCGAATTTATCAAAAGTAATATATTCATGTACTAGAATTGTTGTATCATCAAACGAAATTTAAGCTAGTAATAATACGTACAAATTCGAAACACTTTCTACGTCAAGTAAAAATATCAGCGCTGTAAAATAATGTAACAGTCTCTCTAGTTTATTTTCAAATAGAAAAAATAATCTAATTTCAAGTTTGATATATTTTTGATTTGGTAAGAGAAAAAAAAAGATTAATCTTTGCAAATCAAACGGCTTTGATTTTATGAGATGTTTTATTTTTTATTTATGAAAAAAAGATTTGCAAATAGACAATGTTAATCAATGAGCGAGTATCATGTCAAAACGAAAAAACATTTTCGTCGTCAGCCCTAAAAATAGTAAGAAAAAGTATTTAATTTATTATACAAAAATACTGATCAGATTTTATCATCGTCGCATCAAAACAAATACTAGTATAGTTTTTCGAAGAAAACATTCCAGATCATACACTGATATTTGTCCATTACACTAAATACTTTTGATTAAAAAAAGGCTACTCTACAATGCAGCTATACTCTAAATTACATTAATTGATTTTTATTCGGCCTTTCGATTATCTCTTATTATGAGAATTTGACGACTTGCATTGATAATATAGAGCAGAAACCAACTGCGTCTATTTGTTTACTATGAACTTTAAAAAGAAATTATCTTATGTTCTTTCTAATATATTACTAAAATTGTTATTAATTTTTCTCAAAATATCGAGGATGAGTGTAAAACATGATCATTTTTATTTTGAGATCAATTGTAGTTGATGGCACTGAATATTGACGTGTAATTTCTGAAATCTCAAGNTGTCGTTTTTATTATTATAGCCCATAGTTACGACAGTATTATATATTTTTATTATTACAGACGTTAGCAACGAGCGTATGCTACCGCTACAGAAACTAGCAACTAGTTCATGCTACTATTACATTCGTTACTTCTATCACCTACAGTAAGCAGGTGAAGATTTTAATCTTTTTTTTCTCACACGAATACCTTATTCTAGAGCTTGAGTCCACTTTAGTGTATTTACAATTCGGAACTTTTCCATCCACTGGGAAGCTTTTATCAAATTTTCGTTTATGAAAAAATGTACCAATTTCTCACCTGGTAATACGAAAAAATATAAATTTCTCAACAATATTGATAGCTATATCATAAATACTGTTTAAACTATTATCATTCACAATATTTCTCAATGAAACCACTAAACACTTCAGCATACTGATACTGACATATTTTAAACAAAAAGTTGTTCATACGTTCTCTCTAGTAATATTCCCTATTGATAGATCCAATAAACTTCAAATGTTAAAAAGGTTTTATTATCTTATTTTTGAACAAAATATGATCTCACTACACTGAAAAAATAAAACTTCTATTTGATCAGTATCTAACTGACCGAAATATGTGAGTTCCACATTTTAGCCCCAACGGGGCTACACTGACAAGCTTTTTATCTTGTGTAACTATATAAATCATAAGATTACATGAAAGTATTTGATGGAATACTGTACCTTATCTTCACTTGATGCTCGTTTTTGCATTTCGTATAATTTTGCCACCATCTTTTTCAATTCTCCCAAATTATTTTAAACTATTTCTACTCCTTTATTTTCAATATCTGATGATAAGATTACACTAGAAGATGCTGATTGTTGACTTGAAGATTCATCAGCAGGCTTGATTTTTTTTGATTTTGATCCGATGTTAAAATGATGAGTTCGTTCTAAATGAAATATGTTAGATCTTTGTATGTAATGCGAAGCCAATGTAGCAAATGATCTTTGGAATATTTTTTAAAGAGAACATTAACAGAAACAAAACATTTTTTCCATAAATATTGATTTTCCATTCAAGTTTTAATATATTTTCTGAAATTCGATTTTCTCTTATTTTGTACGAGAGGAAAACTTGTAATTGTATTTTTAATCTGATAACTTTATCTTCGCTTTTTTCAAAGATCTGCAAAAAATACTTTTATACACTGAAAGTATTTTTATTTAATCATATATAAAATATATTTTGCGTATACAGTTTAGTTAAAAAATCTGAAAAATGAATGTGGCCGTTCCTTATTTTTTTATATCATTAAGATGATTGGCTTGTGCTTCCGGTCCGAAGGGGTATATGGAATGTATTTTTATTCCATCAATACAACGAATGAAATGAATGAAGAGAGCCATTCCAAAAATAAATTATCAAAATTGAGCACAGCTCCACCGGTTAAGTAGAATCATGTCTTCAGAGCAATATAAAAGTAAATTTTGGTTATTGGATTACAGAAATTTAATATTGGTCGAGAACAGACTTTTTTGTAGCTTTTTCGCTAAATTTATCTATTTTCAAACTTGACACTGTGTTGAAAATAATAATGCTAGATATATTTAAAATAATATTGTTTTCATGACTCACTCTTATTGATTGATTTACTGATGTCTTTCAGTATTTCAGCTTCTTCATCATCGCTCGAAAAACGAATAGGTATGCTGTTTGTTGTGACCTTCTTTTTCGTTTTACAAATTTTGTTAATTGTATCAATAATGTTATTATTTTCGTTTTCCTGCAATATCAGAATGATTAATAGTCAAAAGAAACAATAAACAAACATCTTGCATCATCACTGCTGATGCTACTGCTTTCATTATCAGACAGTTCCGTTTTAACTGAAGACCATTGTTTAACTCCAGTAGAAATAGTTTTTTCCAATGATTCTTGAGCCTTTTCACATTCTTCCAGTGTACCTTTTATAATTGATCTCGATAAATGCTTACATTAATGAAAGAACAGTTTAATGAGGAATTACATTGAAAAAACGACTTTTCAATGGTTGGCGCCACTGTCAAATGTGAAATTGAATAAAGTCGATCTCAGTTGAATGATTATGTTACAACTAAACCATCATACAAATTATTCTTACTGCTTACATTGATGTTTGAAAACGTATAAATTCGATACAATAGAATTTTTGAGAGGACAGGTTGTATGTAGTGGCATCGCAGTAAGATGTGTGAACTCTATATATAAAATCAACTGCAATATAAATTTTGAAATTGTCAAGATAAAAAAGTGCTGAGAATTTGTTAAACACTATTTTTTTATACATATATTTGAATCAAGATCAGGATCAACAGTAAAAGATTTCTCAATTTTCTGGATTATAATATGCTTTGAGCAAAATTCTAATATAATCTGAAAGCATTGTTTTATTTATTATGGTTGAGATTTTCCTCGAAATTAGCGTTAAGAGTTCATAATGATCGATGTATTTAACAAATTTTGAGCAGATCCTGATCGAAAACTAGATAAAATAACGTGACCAAGTCGTTTGAAGCATTCTTGGCAGGATCCTCAACACAACAAGTTACAAATCTTGATAGGGTCTTGAAAAAAGCCTAAACAGATTCTATGCACAAGCCTTTAAAGATCTTAGCTTGTTCTTTATATTTTATTATTAAAATTCTGGTTAATATTGATGTTACCTTGTAAGTCTGGGAACTTTGGTTCTTAAAAAGTTCTGAGGAAGATCGTGATTGAAACCTTGTCGGATGATTTTATTTCTACGTCTGACTGATCTTCTTATTTTCTTGCTAATATCGTTGTCTGCGATGGTTATACACCCTGTCAGGTTCCTGAAACGCAGCTTTGGTGCATGTCTCAGTCGAAACGTAATAAAATCTTAGCGAAATCTTGTCTCAGAATCCTTTCATGATCTTTCACAGAATCTAGAGTAAATCCTGGTAGGATCCTACCTACGATATTACAATGTGGACATCATTCTTGACAGGATCCTGATACACAGATCCGAACTCAATCCTAACAAGAACCAAACAAAATCTTGCTAAAATCCTGTGTCATAAACTTGACAAGATCCTTGACAGGATCTGAAGTAAATCCTGATATGATCCTGAAATCTGAACTCAGAAAAATATCTGACCAGGAACTTGAACAAATCCTGAACAGGATCTTGTTTTACCTTGAAAAATCCTGGAGGAAGGAATTACAAAGATTTGAAACAGGATCTTGAATAAAACTTGGCAAGATCCTTGAGTTTGAGGATCTTGAAAGATCCTTCCAGGGTTTCTCAAGGAATGAGCAGGATTGAGACTAGGGTATAGGTACATGAATATGCATAGAAATTTATTTAAATTTATTTGAAAGAAAAAATCTAATCATAACTATAAAACATTAAAAATGATTGCTATTATTTTTGCGGCTTGGTTGAATGACTCGAGAGAGTCGACCATTTCACAAACGCGTGTTTTTATCAGTTAATAACCAGCAAGCTAGTAGTGGCGGACCCATTAGGCTTGGGTAGACTCAAACTAGAACAGATAAATGCTGGGGTAGACGAGAGTCTAACATAGATTTGAGGAGATTAGATTTAGGCAAACTTCAAATAGGCACCCCAAGGACTTGATAGGCTCGAAAAAATATAAAAATTTTCTACTAATGCTTATTTTCATAGTTTTTCGACCAATGCCCTACTCTAAGATTTTCAGTTCATATTTCAGCTACTTCTAACTTTTGTTCAATGATATATTTTTTGAATTTCATTGGCATATAATTAGGTTGACTTTGAATTGCTTCTTCTTAGTATAGAACAATTGAATTTCTTTTTCCGATATTCTATTTAAAATAGTTTTTGAATTTTATCCCTGCCAAAAAGAACAGGTAAACTGTGGAAGTCAATGGCAGTTTACTCGAAAAATTGCCGGCTAGTGGCTGTAATAGAGTCAGTTAATGGATCACTAAAATCGTTGGTTTTTGTTGGTTTCACTACATTACTAAATGTTTGAAAAAATGACTCCTTTCCTGTCGCGATATCAGATAAACAAAATCAGACTTTATCTTTCTTTCACAATAAAGCACGAGGCCCACTAGTTTTCATGAAAGTTCATCTTCTAGTTTAATTCTATTTAAGAATTTAAATGATACTAAAACTGAGTCAGGCTTACGAACAGAAATGTCATAGTTAAAGTCAATAAAAATCTCACTATCAACTTGATGAAGCATCTGCACTAATTTTATTTTAAAAAATCCAAATAGGACACATTTTTTAGCTATGGAGAAGTCAATTTCTTGTTCGACTATTTTTCCTAATGGTTTTTTCGATAACACTTTTCAGTTAATTAGTTATAGTTTCTGTGATCTCCGGTGCAATCATGCATTAGATAGTTATCACGTTTATAAACAATCAAAATCTAGCCAGAAAATCGACAACGATCATCATTGTAAAAAGAGAAAAATACTTTTCAACTGGTTCACATCCATAAATAAAAAATTGGGACTGGAATCAGATTGAAATGAATTAAGTAGTTTCTTATAATAGTGAGGTTTTAATCAATTTTCAAACCGTTTTTAATAAAAACAACGTAAAAGTCGAAATTTGATGGATTACACAATTCACCCTGACTATATTCGATTAAGACTTGATAAAAACTAGAGTGTAGCTGGTGCGAACTACGTTAACCCTTTCCGGCCGCCTCCCAGAAACCGAAGAGCAAAAGAATCCGTTCCTATATATTTTTGATTGTTGTACGTTAGGGATAGCAAAGCTATAGTTTTTAGGAAAAAAAATATTGTGTACTTCATAACCTCATGTTGCTATTTGACAACAGCCGGCCGCAAAAGGGTCAAAAATTTAAATCTTTTTTTGTTTTCGATCATCAAAAGGCATTAGTTTATGCTTCTTTCATTTATTCATAACGTTATTTCAACAAAAATAAATACAATTTTCACATAAAAAAGAAACAGAGAAGAAAACATAAACAATTAAAAACCATTTCGTAAAAGTACCTTATGAATTATGACAGTCTATGAAGCAATTGTTGCTATTGGTAAGACACAGGCGTTGTTGACATTTCGAACAACTTATTCTTGTATAACCAATACAGTCAGGATTGCGACACCGCCCTTTTGACGTGTAAACTGGCCAATGGTCAAACTTGTCGAACCGGACACTTGGTGTTGGAGTCGAACTTGGTACAGCTCTTGTTGTTGTTGTTGCTGAATTATTTTCATTTAATCCGGAATCTAACGATGGACGACCACGTTTAACTGGTGGCGTAGGTGGAGCATACTTGAGTAAAGCATCAGCAACTTCGACACGAAATGATAATAGTGGCATTGTATTTTTATTTTGAATATTGACTTGAAAACAATGGCGGCGAAAAAAAATGTCAGCCATTTACAATACAGAGATCAATAAGGTGAAATATTATTTTAATATAATACTTTTTTGAACGGCAATCAATACGGTACAAAGAAACTAACATGTCGATCAAATCCACTCCGCCCATGTGTTGATTATAAGTTTTTATAACATTCGGTCTTACAATTTGTATACGTTTTTTTTTGTTGCGAAGACCATCGTTCAGCAGGATAGAGTGGCTCACAGTCATGCAATGTTGACAGACAATTGACAACATTGTTATCATACCATCTAGTCACGCATAGTGTTACGCCATCAACTTCAGCGATACGATGGTCCATTGCACCTCGATCTTCACTTGACAATTCTTTCTTATTTTTCATTGTTAAATCAGTTAATCGGTTAGGTTTTACCGTTCCAACAGTATATATGCCTAATTTTTTCAGTTCAACTTGTAATCGAATCGTTGTGAAATAATTATCACAATAAACTTTATGATTGATGGCTCGTGGTACAGTTGCACATAAATCAAGAACAATATTAGTACAAAAACCGTATTCCTGTTTGTCAGACTTACCTGCGTAAAGAATGAAGTCATAGCATATGCCACTTTCGCCACCAGCTAGAAGAAACATTTTGTACCCCCATCGATTCGGTTTGTTTGGCATATGTTGCTTCATTATGCTTTTTCCTTTGAAAGGTATTATTTGTTCACCCACACTTAATTTTTCTTCTTTATCAGTTTTTATGAAGTTTTCTTTAACAATGTTTAATAATGGACGCACTTTATGTGCGCGATCAAAATTTGGATCAGTACGATTTAGTTGCTTTGATTATCAACAACATGTAAATACTTTTTGATTTCTAAAGAACGATCTCGACTCATGACTGACGATATGGATTCGACACGAGTTGTGTTCATCCAGAAGAAACGTTGTTCTGGAAAGCAATATATATTCCAGTCATTATTAATATGCCAATGAAATGTGACATTTCAACTTCAGAAATGCGTACCGGCTTGCTTGGATTGGTTTGAAGTACAGATAGATTTGATTGATCAGTTAACAATGCTATTGATTTTTTGTCAACCATAGAAAAAAAATAATCAATTGGTTCTAATTCTTCATTCATTGGCGGCGGTGGCAAAGTGCCAGCAAAAGCAGCTGTTGAAAGTACAAAAGCAGTCTTTCTCCAATCTATTTTTTTCTCTTTTTTGGTTGTGGACCATTTCGTGCAATTGTTTCGTTACAGTCACTTGATGATGATGTTTCGCTCATAATGAGCTCATCTCGTAAATTATGAGCAACCTTACTTACTTCATCTTCTGACTCAGATGAGTCAATCTCTTCATCACTTGTTAGTGACATAAGATGTCACTCTATGTCACTAACTTCTTTTCATTCCGTGATTTTTTCTTTTGTTGATTTGTCTATCTGAATTGTCCAGTTGATTGATCATCATGAGACGCTGATGACCTATTCATGTTTTTTTGACCGACGTTTCCCCTTATATTGTGTCATTTGATTTTCTCATATATATACTTATGCGATGTTGTTTTGTTTTTTGGTTCTCTTGTTTTTGCTTTTGCTTTTCGATCTATTGTTTCGTTTTTGGTTATCATCTCCTGTTGTGTTTACATTATTACCGTCTGTAATAAAGAACCGCTGGTGAATCTCAAAATCTTACGGTAGGCAGTTTTTTATGCGATCAATATCCTGATGTAGCAGATTCAGCGCCCAAATTATTGATTATAAAAAGATTATAGAAGGAGACCTCGCATCACTGACTCCTTTTGGTACAACAGTATCTCTCTTTGAAACTTTTTTAGCAGCCATTACTATAAATTCGTTGATTAAGAATATCACTCGGTCTTTTCAAACCTAGAAATATCCAACTACTCTTACTACTTAGAATGACGTTTAAAACCGAACACTTAGAAGTTTATTTTAGTTTAGAATTTCATATATGTCAAATATACTGACATACTACAGTATATATAGCAGTTGTCAAGAACAAAAGAACAATGTCAAATAAAAGAATGGTTTGTTCGCCTATGATGATATTGTACGATAGATGGTCTTGCTATCTAATATAGATAACGATGGTGCATATTCACTCGTAGTTGAATTATCACACTCATTTTGAAAGTCATCAGCACATGTGAGGGGATGATGTAGTTATATTCTTTTCACACAATGTTGCTCACTATAGCCAGCAAACTTCATTCCAAGGACACTAAATTCTACGTAATTTTACTGTATTCACTAAGAAAGTAAAGTCTTTTCCAGAGGACTGTAATTTTTTCAAAAGTAGACTTTTTCAGGAAATTTTATGCTTTGATTACAATATGAACTTTAACAAAAATATGAATAGGGCATGGAAAGTTGCTTTAACGCATACAAGGAGGGTTTTTATTTCACTAATGATACATATATTATCGTAGAATGCAGTACAATACTTTGATTCTATCATAAAGGACGAAAATGCATTTAAAAAATTTGTGTCCCATTGCGGCCGGGTGTTGCCAAAGGGCAACATCATCCTATTGTACTATTCGAGTGCCTTGAAATAATCATCGAACTAGCACAGGTGACAACAACTCCAATAAGGAAAATTAACCACCAGTTATTTCTAATACTGATTGTTGAGATATGTAGAAATATCATTCTTATGATTCGCATGCATTTTTGGAGCATTGCATATGCATTCAGCTATTTTTTCAGCGAAGAATTTTTTTGTCCCAATGATTTAGGAATATGTGTGAAAATATGTTGTACTAATTATCGCATCAAAAGAACTCTGAATGCTTCCACTGAAAGCCAACCAGTTCCAAAACATTTAGTCAATGTTGCCAAATGGCAACATCCGGCTGGGAAGGGTTAAAACTTTTCGTTGGTCATAGCGAAAAAATTTGAAGTCTTATGATAATAATCAAATTTGAATCCTGTATTTTTACACGGACATGCATAATTTTCCTAAAAAAGGGAGCCTACCCTAGATTGAAATCATTCCGCCGTGCCTGTATCGGTGTGCCCCGGCGTTATTTAAAATAACTATTAAAAGTGGATATCATAGCACTAGTGTACTGTGAGATTGAAATTTTTGATCACGATCGTGATTTTTTTAAATAAAATTCACGATCACGAATATCTCTATGTGATTATAAGAGGCACGAAAACGTTTTGGTCATTCGGTTGCAATATATCCCGAACGTATTTCATTCGGTACATTCAATGTTAATAGAAATTAACAGTCATAATCGATCGCTTTCATTCGTATTCTAGTGATCATTTTTTGAAAACAATAATTTTTAATAAATATTTGAGATTTTGAAACTATATATTCAATTTGTGATCGCGAAATCTTAATGTCGTTCACGATAACGATCACGAATTTTTTTCTCAATCACGACTACGAACACGATCACGAGCAAAAGACATTTCTTACTCACGATCACGATCACGCAGTACACTACATAGCACTAGTACTACCCCCCTCCCATAACACAGTAGTGTCAAATTTGAAACTTGAATTCAACTGAAACTTCAAGTTTCAAGTTTCAAGTTTCAAGTTTCAGGTTTAACGTTATTGCTCTGACACTACACTGAAAAAAAAAGGTTCCATGCGAAACTTAAAAGGTTTCGTGGTGCTTTACTATACTCCAAAAGGTTTCGATCGGAAACACGAAACCTTGTAGTAGTTCAGTTTCATCAGAGGTTTTGCAAAAAACCTTTTCAAGGTTTCGGATTCAACAAGGTGTCGTAATAAACCTTTGTAAGGTTAGGAATTCAACAAGGTTTTGTAAAATACTCCTATATCCTTTTTGGTTAACATAAGTTGTAGAGTGGCGCTTTGTGTCCTTACTTCGTTTATTGTCGAGTGAAGTTAAAACCAATCACTTATTTTTCCGCTGCTCATCTTATTCTACATCAAGTTCACTGTTTCCAATATTAAGTACCTTAAACAAAAGCAAATAGTCGAAGTACTTATAGTTTTTTAACGGCACTATATTTCGAATATAAATGGAACAA